CTCCTCTGTCCTCCACTATCTATCTCCCGGAGTTTGCGCAAATTCATATCCATTGAGTTGGTGATGTTTAGGTTTTATTTCCCCTTTTCTATTTTACTTCAAATCCATATACTGTAAATAGCTCCCCCACCCACCTTCCCTTTTTAAAACAGTTATAGCTTGCAAAACCATGGTTCACAGTGTTGCAAATGAGGGTCTTACCTTTGTCCATACTTAATCTTTGCAACAATCATTAGTGGTATATGACATCATAACATAAGAGAGCATCTATATACAAACATATACAATTTTATTGATATCTCTACAGACTACAAGAATTTTAAGTATAGTCACAATTGCTGAGTGCAACAGAAAAATAGTAATTTGTTTTCTGAAAAGATGCAAAAATTCTGAAGATGAAAGAAAGATACATCAATGATGTCATCTGTTTCTTATTTCCTAGAATAAACCATCACATAATTAAGTACTAAAAATTATAGGTTATTAGAGATTTTGATCCTGTGTACACTTGTCAATAACCACCACCTAGTTCATTTTCTGGCTTTGTAGTTGAGAAGGGTGGGCCAGTACCATAGGGGAGCAGTGTGAGATGAGAGAATGGAACTCCCATTTTTTTCATTGACTGGTATTTCCTTGAATATTTTGAAAGTGAAAGCACTTTTTCAGGGCACTGGAGGCCACATAGTGAGTTGCAGGCCTTCTTCCTTTAAACACATGTCTAGTAACTTAAAAAATAAATCCAAAATCCTTTGCCCTGGGAGCAAAGACAACAATCAAAAAGGGAGAGATGTTCTCTCTTCTTGCTAAGATCAAGTTCAATAAAACATCACTATGGCAGAACAGGTAGCTGGTACCCATGTCTCCTCCAAATGAAGAATGAGTAATAAATTTGGACCTGATTTAGTATATGATTGTTTTGAGAATTTCTGCTATCCAACTAGTAAGAATTAGTTTTCCACTTAGTGTTAATGCTATTGAACTTTTATGATATCTCTGGTGTCTTTTGATGTCACATGTATAAGGCAATAAAAATCTAGATGTTTGAACTGGAATAATTAGTGGCAAAGTCACTAGGAGACAATCACAAAGACAGAGTTAATAAGAGTTAATGGAGCATTGCCTGGTCAGAAATTTGTACAGAATATTTGTTTTGGGTTGCAACACAGATATCAATCTGGCCAACACTGTATCTCCAATATCTTACTTTCCTTGATGCCTCAGAAGTGGGGCTTGAACACTGGCCAGTATAGACAAATGTGTCTTCCGTAGTAGTGGTGATCGACCTTGGCTGGACACTGGAACTATCTTGGAGCCTTTCAAAAGTACTGATGTTTGGTTTCCACTCTGAAAAATTTTGGTGTAACTGGGAATTTTAGAAGCTCCTTAGGTGATTCTTATGCACAGCCAAAGTTGAGAATCACTTCCCTACGTAAAATAGACCAGCTGTGCTTCAGTTCTTCAGCAAAGCTTCTCCTGCTTCACTCTGGCTCCCAAGTCTCTCTCTGCCTGAGCCTGCCTGTACCAAGTTGGCACTTCCTCTTCTTCCCCAAGCCAGACCCTTCCTGTTTTGCATTTTGTCCTTTCAGGGCTATGTTGTGTGCAAAAATATACAATAAACTTCTACAACCATGCTCCCTACAATGGTGCAATCCACATATGTGACCTACTGGCATGTATTTCTGACATCTGGAGCACTGTGTCTGTGAAACAGTAACTGCTCAGAAGTGGAGTTGGGGCTCCAGAGGACAGAGGTGAAGAAGCTGCAAAGCTACCATGTTTCTCCTGATGGAAAGAGCAAGACCTGGCAAAAATGTTGACTTGTTTTGGCATTGCCCTCTCTGAACAAAGGTGATCAAGTTACAATGTCTTCCCACAAGGACAGACTATAATCATACAGATAAACTCCTGGGTTGTCCCAATGATCCTAAACCAATGAGAGGATTTTTAGTTTACTCTTCTAAATCTGCTCCATTTTCCCCTTCTGCCAAACCATTTATAACCAGATTATAGCTGGTTAGCTCAAAGAGCTAATCTTAATCTTCTTCAGCCAATCTTGGACATAATCTTTATTTTCCTTTTCCTTTCTCAAAGCCATGGTAACCCCTTAATGCAGGTAACAGACATATGGTTCACATTTTTATAAAAGGACTCCAACAGTAAGCTTTTTCCTTTATAATCCCTTAGTATCTTTGAGTAGCAGAGACACTGGATTCTGATTTATTAATTTGAGAATCATTTGAAAGTATATGAAAGGTTTGAAAAATTATCTTTATGACTAAATTATCAGAAAACATCTCAACTCAGTTCTGTCACCATTCTTCCAAAGTTATTCAGACAGTGGCCCTGATGATGACTAGGGCAGTAAGTCTGGGTCTCAGTGAAGTGTAGGAAGCAGAGGTAATAGTACTGCTTTCACAGGGGATTAAAATAAATGATGAATCAGTTATCCATCCCTCCAAACTCCAGGGTTTTTAATGGATAAATTTAATGGTAGGGATTATTGCTGGCATTATTTGAACCAGGAAAACATACTTCCAACTTCTCATGACGAATTATAATGCTAAAGACCTATTCTCCTGGGACACAAAGAAAGGCTTCTCTCTTTAGGGAGTCATAAGGAGATAAGGTCAACTTGTAGAGACTGCAAGACTTATCTTCTGGTGTCACCTTAAGCAGACAAAACGTAATTTAATGACAACTAAGGCTCAGAGTCATTTCTCTATCATTGTTCAAGTTACTAGGAGTATTTTTCTTATGTTTCAAGGTAGAGGCAAGACATTTAAATAGTAGAGAAGAGAGATGTAAAGTATTCCATGCATACTAGTAGTTGTTTTCCAAAGATGATGATGATGATGATTAGGTGGTGGTAGTAGTATGTATGTGTGTGTCTGTGTGCGCATGTGCTAAGGTCAGTGCAACAGAACAGAAATGTTCAAAGAGAAAAATCACATCCCTATCACATTCTTGTTATTGCTATCTCTTTGAATTATAAAAATAATTTTGATACAGTAAAACCTCATTAATTTGTATTCCACTAATCACAAGTTTGTGGGATGAAGTTACCCTTACATTAAGAAAGGGTTTATAAAAACTCTACTGAAAGACAAAAAGAACCTCTTTTCAAGCATTTCAGAAGCACGTTACTTCTAATTGATGTGCCAGTTATAAACTTTTGGTCTATTCATTAAAGCCAGAGTTTTAAGCCCTTCTGTGAAATGCTATTTTGTCCTTTCTGGTATGTTTTTTTTTTTTTTGGTATGCTTTAAAATATTCTGTATTTGTTTTCTTTCACAAAATTAATTTGCTCTTGTCAGAATTCCTGAAAACACTAAAGAAAGTGCCACTTTAAACAAATTCACCAGAAGTTTAAAAACTAAAAAAAAAGCAGAAATACTATTTTTGACTGCTAAAAGATCCTGGACTTACGGAAAATGGTGAATTCTGAAGAAACACAATGTAAGTCTATTAAGAACTTGAGTAACCAAAATTCAATGAGCTGAACCCATTAATTTTCTTTAAAAAGATTCTTTTCGAAAGAACAACATACATATTATTGAATGGGTCCCAGAGTCTGCATATATTCATTTCCTGTGACCTGACTTCCAGAATCATGTTAAATAATGGTAGCAGGTGTCTTGTTGGCCTCTACTACGTCTGTATTCTGATAGATATCTTTTATCATATTAAGGATATTCTTTATTCCACTTTTAAAAGAGTTTTTAATAAGGAATAGGTGTTTGTTATCTATTGACATAATCCTGTAGCTTATGTAATTTAGCTTATCAAGTGACAAAAGTGTTGATTTTGTATCATTACACTCTCTATGTATTTCTGTCATCCATAATGGTGACTAAACCCAAGCTAGCAAAAACATCACCACATTTTATAACCTGGTAATAATATTGAACCAAAAAGCAATTTCTAATGAAAGCCCTTATTTATTAATCAGAAATGTCAGAATCTCTTTCCTAAAACATTAGCTGAGGTTTTACTGAATCAGACTAGAGAATGACCAGTTTGGTCTGTGAGTATCAGGCTGCAAGAGCACCTTTGAATTGAAGACCCCATGGAGATTAAACAGTAATATACTGTGTAATTGGCAGACAAGGATACAAATGGAGCATTAAAAATATATCACTTTAGAAACTGAAACCAGAGTGTGTGAAATCAGTTCTCAAAGCTAACAGCATTGTTCTTGTAATTCTAGTTTCCCCAAACCTATTGTCACATATGCTTCAAGGTGACCCCACCCTGCATTTGTTGTGACTGAAAATAGCAACTTGTTTTGAAGGTGATGGAAATAATTGTGTTAGGAATAATTTACTGTACTGGCTATATTTGATTATGACTGAGAACTGTGAATAATGTAAAATATTATGGAGAGAGAACAATGTTAATCAGACTCTTGACATAGGAATTCAATAACGCCCTAGTATATAATGAAAGTTATAGATGACAAGAAAACTCTGGTTTTGTTTGCTTTGTAAGTTGGGTATTGCAAATGTACTGATACCTTCTAACGCAGATTTTTTTTTTTTTAATTGTCAGGTGTGGCCCAATTTATAAAAATAGTTTACCATAAATCTTTTTTTTTCTTCTGTCACAACATGCTTTTTTCTTTTCCTCTTAAGATGTTAATTTATCATGCAGTTTTTTTTCATTAAGTGCATTAATGCTTTTTGTTTGTACAGGATTTTTTCAAATCAGAAGGACTCCCCGTAGTTCCTAAATGTAAATCCTTAGCAAACAACATGCCAAGATGATAGCTCCATTCCATGTGGGAAAAGGCAAATTCAGCCATATCTTGGGATTTTAACCAGGATTCCAGCCTTGGGTTGCACAATGTCTCTGATAAGTCTCCCTTATGATAACTTCAGATGGACTGTAATGGAACATTTTGTAGAAGAAACTGGCTTCTAGCAGTTGAATATTGATGCTGGGAATAAATTTGGTTTCCCTGAATAATGGTTTCTCAAAGCAGTCATAGCTTCTTTAGAAGTTTAGAATTGGTACCATTTCTTATCCTTATATTTCAGCATTAACTGCAAAGAAAAAATAGTCACATAAGATGTTAAAAAATATTTAAAAGTGCTAATCCAAGCTCATGTTGAGCACATCATACATACCAAAACCTCAAAACTTCTAAAACGACCTTTATATTGTGAAATAAACTAAAGACATATTTTTGAACTGCAGTCAAGCTCTAAAGATTTGCCTGAGAGGAAATGATTTTTAATGACTGAGACAAAAAGGAATGTGTGAATTCAGCCTCTGCTGCCCCTCACACCTTCTTGCCGGGGATCGATTTTTAATGACTGAGACAAAAAGGAATGTGTGAATTCAGCCTCTGCTGCCCCTCACACCTTCTTGCCGGGGATCGTATAATAAACCTAAGTACCTCTTTAGATTCTGATACACTGGGTGTATCAGAACCAATAGATAATTTTCTTTAAATCCATCTTCTAAGGTAAAGAACTATTAATATAATACTTTAAAAAAACACTTTTTTTCTCCCCAATCCAAGGAGAATTATAATACATACAGCAAGGTCCCAGTTACCTTGGCTGTCACATGTGATTACTTAGAGTGGCATCTCTGTTTAGGCTCTCTTGTGCAGAACCTAAATGTTTAAAGTTATTACTGGATGAAGATGCCTATATTTGCATAGGCAGCTTACCTCGTGTGCATGTTTGGAAAATGCCTCTGCACTGGTCATCATGCCTGCAGTTTTCTCTTCCAGCTCTCCTAGCCTCTGCCCTCTCTCATCAAGTGCGATCCGTGCACGAGTCAGCTCTCCCATCACCCCTCCGGCAGCGCCTTTCATCCCTTCTATACCACCTGGTCCAGGAATGTGCTGTGCGAGGCTGCGTGACGCTTTTCCTGCAGAAGCTTCCCCAACTGGGAGTTCAAGCAATAGCAATTTAAAACACTTTTTCAGTAATTCAAGTAAGTATAGTCAGGCTTATGACCAAACAGATTACTTATATTGAATTTTATTGTCATAATTCTCACGGAGAGACATATTTGTTCCGATCATAGATATATATGTATTTGGAAATGTTAGCATTTACCCCAAAAAAATGCCTATTAAAGAGACTGAGATATTGTTACCATGTTTTATTGTGTATGTGGGGGAGGGGTCCATACAGTATGACATAATTGCATTTCTTGACATTACTGCATTGGTATACTCAATATTATTGTGATCTCATATTTAACCCATATTAGTTCCATATCTGTTCCAATTTCAGGCCTGATGATTCTGCCCAGCTGGGCATTCCAAATCTCCCATGTTCATCTTCCTATCAGTCTTTGTAGCCCTCAGTTGTTTTTTTTTTTAAATCTGAGTGTGTATGTGTTTGTGTGTCTGTGTATATACTAGAAAATGGGGTATATATGCATTATGGGCACTAATACACATATGTTGAAACTTTGTTACTTTATAAAAACTTAAAAATTTCCCCATCATTTATAAAACTCAGTTTTACTTAATTTTAATGAAGTAACTTTGGAAAAGATATACCCATTTGAATGCAGAGTTCCAAAGAACTGCAAGGAGAGATAAGAAAGCCTTCCTCAGTGATCAATGCAAAGAAATACAGGAAAACAATAGAATGGGAAAGACTAGAGATGTCTTCAAGAAAATTAGAGATACCAAGGGAACATTTCATGCAAAGATGGGCATAATAAAGGGCAGAAATGGTATGGACCTGACGAAGCAGAATATATTAAGAAGAGGTGGCAAGAATACACAGAACTGTACAAAAAAGATCTTCACGACCCAGATAATCACAATGGTATGATCACTCACCTAGAGCAGACATCCTGGAATGTGAAGTCAAGTGGGCCTTCGGAAGCATCACTATGAACAAAGCTAGTGGGGGTGATGGAATTCCAGTTGAGCTATTTTAAATCCTAAAAGATGATGCTATGAAAGTGCTGCACTCAATATGCCAGCAAATTTGGAAAACTCAGCAGTGGCCACAGGACTGGAAAAGGTCAGTTTGCATTCCAATCCCCAAGAAATGCAATGCCAAAAATGCTCAAACTACTGCACAATTGCACTCATCTCACACGCTAGTAAAGTAATGCTCAAAATTTTCAAAGCCAGGCTTCAGCAAGATGTGAACCATGAACTTTCAGATGTTCAAGCTGGTTTTAGAAAAGGCAGAGGAACCAGAGATCAAATTGCCAACATCTGTTGGATCATCGAAAAAGCAAGAGAGTTCCAGAAAAACATCTATTTCTGCTTTATTGACTATGCCAAAGTCTTTGACTGTGTGGATCACATCAAACTGGAAAATTCTGAAAGAGATGGGAATACCAGACCACCTGACCTGCCTCTTGAGAAACCTATATGCAGGTAGGAAGCAACAGTTAGAACTGGACATGGAACAACAGACTGGTTCCAAATACGAAAAGGAGTTCATCAAGGCTGTATATTGTCACCCTGTTTCTTTAACTTACACAGAGTACATCATGAGAAATGCTGGGTGAAGCACAATCTGGAATCAAGATTGCTGGGAGAAATATCAATAACCTCAGATATGCAGATGACACCACCCTTATGGCAGAAAGTGAAGAAGAACTAAAGAGCCTCTTGATGAAAGTGAAAGAGGAGAGTGAAAAAGTTGGCTTAAAGCTCAACATTCAGAAAGCTAAGATCATGGCATCTGGTCCTGTCACTTCATGGCAAATAGATGGGGAAACAGTGGCTGACTTTATTTTGGGGGGCTCCAAAATCACTGCAGATGGTGATTGCAGCCATGAAATTAAAAGACACTTACTCCTTGGAAGGAAAGTTATGACCAGCCTAGACAGCATAGTAAAAAGCAGACATTACTTTGCCAACAAAGGTCTGTCCGGTCAAAGCTATGGTTTTTGCAGTAGTCATGTATGGATGTGAGAGTTGGATAATAAAGAAAGCTGACTGCAGAAGAATTGATGCTTTTGAAGTGTGGTGTTGGAGAAGACTTTTGAGAGTCCCTTGGACAGCAAGGAGATCCAACCAGTCCATCCTAAAGGAGATCAGTCCTGGGTGTTCATTGGGATGACTGATGTTGAAGCTGAAACTCCAATACTTTGGCCACCTCATGTGAAGAGTTGACTCGTTGGAAAAGACCCTGATGCTGGGAGGGATTGGGGACAGGAGGAGAAGGGGACGATAGAGGATGAGGTGGTTGGATGGCATCACTGACTCAATGAACATGAGTTTGGGTAGGCACCGGGAGTTGGTGATGGACAGGGAGGCCTGGCGTGCTGCAATTCATGGGGTCGCAAAGAGTCAGACAGGACTGAGCGAATGAACTGAACTGAACTTTTAAAAATTGAAAAATAGATCTTGTAAAAAATTTAGTGAGCAGTCCCCAGGATGTAACATTAGGAGTGAAATCTAGATTAAGTTTTTTAAAAATAAGAGCCTTATTGAGATATAATTCAAATATAAAATTCATTGCCACTACTACCCCCACCCCATCACCACAACCACCACCCCTTCCCCCCCGCGCCTGCCCCCCCCATCTTTTTAAAACAATTTTTTAGCTGTGGTGCATAGCTTGTGGGATATTAGGTCTGGACCAGGGATCAAACCCTGACAACAGCAGTGAAAACACCTAGTCCTAACCATTGTACCTCCAGGGAATTCATCAACTCACCCTTTGTAAGTGTACAGTTAAGTAGTTTTTAACTGATTCTCAGACTTGTGCAACTATCACCACTCTCTAATTTTAGAACATTTTTATCACTCCCCCAAAGAAATTCTGTACCCATTAGTCCCTCCTTGCCCTGGTCCCTGGCAACTACTGACTTCTTTCTCTATGGATTTGTCTATTCTGAACATTTTTTACAAAAGGAATAATACAATATGTGGCCTTTTTTGTCTTCCTTCTTTAATTTAGCATGATGTTTTCAAGGTAAACGTTTCCATGTTTAGCAGGTATCAAATGTCATTACCTTTTATAGCTGGATAATAGTTCATTTTATAGAAGCACCTAGATATTTTTCATAGTTAAAAATTCAAGGAAAAAGTAGTTTTGATCTGTAGAGACCACTTAGTGAGTGAGAGAATCTGGAAAATCTTAATTTCTCTCTGAGAATGTTCCGTTTTACTGCGTTTTGATTATTGTTCATCAGAGTCTCTGGCAGATATTTTTTAAGTGATTTATTCTGTACCATTGGTAAACCTTGAATTCTGAATAAAGAATTTGTTTCCTAGAAGTAGTTAGAGGCAGGCAGATTCAAAAACATCTTTTCAGATTTAAGTAACCAAGTGCCTTCACCTTGCCTTGCAGGTCTTATCAACCTGCAAATGACACATTTATTAGCTTACTCATTATTTGTACGAATTACATGTACTATTTTTAGTTAAACTATTTCTAAAACAAAGTGACCAGTTCTATTCATGTTTGGTAAACAAATAATTTTCATGGTATAGAAGCAAAGTCCTCGTCCAGAAAGAGGTCATTTGTTTTTTGATACAGTTTGTAATCAGGAGTTTACTCACAGAGCTCTTCTCTGTCAAATGTTTGTCCACTTCCACCAAACAGGCCCTTGAGAAAGCCTCTGTTTTGAGCTTCTGGTGTCTCTATAGGAGTAAACAAATCTCCCAGCATGTCCTATATCAAATTTAAAGAAAAGAGCATTACACTAAGAATAAATTAATAGATCAAAAGATAACATGGTGGCAGGTTACAGCACGTCATGAAAAGGCTAAAAAGTCTGTTCTCCTTATGTTTTCATGGTAATTTTTGCTTAGCTTCCAATTCCCTCTCTCTGGCACTTTTTCCTCCAGCTTCCTCCTTTCCTTTCCCTTTTCCAAGAACTGGCATCCTAAAATATTCACTTTTCTGACCTCTTGTCTTCTTCCTTCTATACTCAGAAAGCATAGGAAGCTAATATTCACCCTAGGATTAAGTTACAGGTTAATCCTGATTACAGAATTCACAGGCTTTATTCCACATACTAATCAGAATTTACATAGATATGCTCCAGTTATCTTTATTTTTAACTTGTTCTAACTTTTTTCTAACTTTTAACTTGCTATAAAATGTTTTAACTTGCTTTGGTCTTTCTGTGTGTGTTAGTCGTTTAGTTGTGTCCACCTCTTTGCAACCCCACTGACTGTGGCCTGCCAGGCTCCTCCATCCATGGGATTCTTCAGGCAAGAATACTGGAGTGGGTTGCCAGTTCCTTCTCCAGGGGATCTTCCCAACACAGGGATCAAACCCAGGCCTCCCGCATTGTGGGCAGACCACCACCATCTGAGCCACCAGGGAAGCCCTTGGTTTTTCTAAAGCAGACTAAAATTTGAGCACCATGGGTTTGGAGGAACTTCAATGCAAAGTCAGATCTGTGAGCTAGTATCAGTTTGTGTGGGAACTTGCAGGATGCCTGTCATCATCTCCCCCCCTCACCTCTACTCTTAGACCTGTGCTTTTCCTCCCAAATCCCTTCTCTTTGGAAATGGCTACACCATCTACTTAGGTCCCCAACCCAGAAATACAGGAATAATTATTAATTCCTTCCTTTTCTTCACTCCTATATCTAATAACCCTCCAGTCCAACCGATCACAGTTTATAGTCATTGAATATGCTAATTTTCTCTATCACTGTTGGCTGTCTTATTTCAAGCCACTATTATTTCTGGCCTTAATTATTTACAAAATAATGCCTCCAAATTGTTCTCCCTACTTTTAGCCTTAACTCTTCAAAACAAATTGTCGTACTGCAAGCAGAATATTAGCTTTAATAAACAAATTAGCTAAACCTTTTCAATGACTTCCTATTGTCCTAGGGATAAATGCCAGATTTCTTAAGGAGTTTACAAGGTATTCCAAGCTCTATTCTTGACTAAGTCTCCATCAGCACTCCTTCACTCTCTCCACTTCCCAACTCTGTACTTTGTTAGCAGTTTGCTGAACCTTGGGGCTTTCACATGCCTCTGCTCTGTCAAGAATATTATTACCTTTCCCACCTCCAGCCATCTATTCCCTATGGACAGCTCCTATTCATCCTTCACAACCTTTTTCTAATTACCCCTTCCCTTTTGGTCCATTAACACAGTCTGCTTTTAAAATGTCTCTCCAGCACTGGCACAGCCATTTACAGACAACCATTTTCCAGAATATTGTGGTTATCTATTTCTCTCTCCCTCCACACTAGCAGGTAGGGACTGGTATCTTGTTTGTGATGGTACTCCTACAGCCCAGCCAAGTACTAGGCATATAAAAAACTTAAGTATATGTTGAATAACATTTATTATTATTTATTTTTAAAACTTAGTATGTTCCAGGCACTTTTCTCAGTGCTTTACATGAATCTTTCTTAATTCTCACAGTAATGCTTCAAGGTAGAACATACAAGTAGATTAAGTAAAATAGCCAAAGTGATACGAGTAGGCAAAATGCAACTTAAATAGTTCAGAGCTTATACTCTGAACCTCTATATTATAATGAATTTTAGTCTTCTTTTCTCTAAATTAGGGAGAGAAACCAATTAAATCCCTAGGATGTCTTTTAAAATTTTGTGACATTTACTTATCCAAGATTTTATTTATTCTTTTATATTTATTTTGTTTCTAAGCTCTGCTTACTGCTATGATCAAAGACAAATGCCCATTTCTAACCTATAGGGTATATATTTATTTTGTATGGCCCACAATTAAGGTTTCTTTTTTTTTTTTAAGTCTATTAACTCTGGGGTGTAGGCAAAATAATAAAAGAAACAGAACAAACATTGATATATATGATCTCCACATTCCCCCACATCCCCTTTTTTCTTATTTTTTTTTTCCTGTGTATATCTGGAACCACACTAGAATTTGGTAGCATCACCAGGGTGAACATATATTCAAAACATATTATAGGGCAGGCATGTTTATTGTCTAGCCTAATATTTGAGCTTTTAGACATCGCTGTCATTCTCTTTTTACAACCACGTTCAGTATTTATTCATAAATGACCTACCTGTAGATTATCACACATCTCTTGGCTGTATGTTAACCGCTGAATTTCAGTAGGAGAGACGAGGTATAATGCCTGTCCTTCATTGGTAAAACAGAATGTCCGTGCTATCCGCATGTCTGTCAGTGGCAAATAATTCACATCTAACATTGGGCGAAGACTAGGTAGGCTGAATGGAAAGAACCAAATCCACATCTCAATATCAAGTTGTTAGAAGCTTTCAATTTCTGTAGATAAAATATAGTGAACTTTACATAAAACTCATTTTATACCACTATTTTATGGTGGTTTTTTTTTTTATGAAGTCTCAATGGTAGTAAACTAGAACTTCATGTAAAATCATTTTCACAAAAAATTATGGTACAGTTCTATTTTAATCCACACAGATTACTTAGCAGATGTCCTTGAAGGTTGAATTAAATGCACTGACTAGCAATTTCAAAATGCTTTGTGCAGAATTTCACAGGTCCCTACTGTTGTAATCTTTTATTGTGGCAGAAACATTGCAACTAGAAAGTGGCTGCCTGCATACTTGGTCCACTGTCTCTTTTTAAGGCAGAATTCCTGGGTCCGAGGTTACACACTGATGTGCACCGAGTTCACTATGCCTGGGAATGGAGGGGCTTTCCTCCCCAGTCCTTTACTTCCTCTCTACGCAGAAAGTGAAAATCACCTCTGACTTATGGCACCTATACTGAAGGTGTGATTAATGACTGGGACTTAGAATTAGTTATAAACAGTAGGTCAGAATTTGCACATCCAAATGAACACTACATCTCGGTGTCTTACTGATTGGCTGTTTTGTTGCTGTTCAGTCATTCAGTTGTTTCTGACCCTCTGCAACCTGCTGGACTGCCGCATGCCAGGCTCCCCGTCCTTCGCTATCTCCCGGAGTTTGCTCAGACTCATGTCTACTGAGCCAGTGATGCCATCCAACCATCTCATCCTGTCGCCTCCTTCTCCTCCTGCCCTCAGTCTTTCCCAGCATCAGCATCTTTTCCAATGAGTCGGCTCTTCACATTGGGTGGTCAAAATATGGGAGCTTCAGCTTCAGCATCAGTCCTTCCAATGAATATTCAGCATTGATTTCCTTTAGGACTGCCTGTGTTGATATCCCTGCTGTCCAAGGGACTCTCAAGAGTCCTCTCCAGCACCACAGTTCAAAAGCATCAATTCTAAGGCACTCAAACTTCTTTATGGTCTAACTTTCACATCCATACATGACTACTGGAAAAACCGTAGCTTCGACTATACAGACCTTTGTCAGCAAAGTGATGTCTCTGCTTTTTAATATACTGTCTAGATTTGTCCTAGCTTTTCTTCCAACGAGCAAGCATCTTTTAATTTCATAGCTGCAGTCACTGTCCACAGTGATTTTGGAGCCCAAGAAAATAAAATCTGCCACTGTTCTCATTTTTCCCCATCTATTTTCCATGAAGTGATGGCACTGGGTGCTATAATCTTAGCTTTTTGAATGTTGAGTTTTAAGCTAGTTTTTTTACTCTCCTCTTTCACCTTCATCAAGAGGCTCTTTAGTTCCTCTTCACTCTCTGCCATTATCATTTTCATATCTGAGATTGTTGATATTTTTCCTTGCAGTTTTGATTCCAGCTTGTGCTTCATTGAGCGTGGCATTTCTCATGATGTACTCTGCATGTAAGCAGGGTGACAATACACCGCCTTGATGTACTCCTTTCACAATTTTGAACCAATCTGCTAGTCCATGTTTGGTTCTAACTGTTGCTTCTTGACCAACATACAGGTTTCTCAGGAGGCAGATAAGGTGGTCTGGTATTCCCATCTTTTGAAGAATTTTCCAGTTTGTTGTGATCCACACAGTCAAAGGCTTTAGCATGGTCAGTGAAGCAGAAGTAGATCTTTTTCTGGAATTCTCACTATTACTATCAAGCTAAAAGCACTGTCAAGCTAAAATTTTAATTGTGACAACATTGTAATGTTTTTGAATTTAAAAGAAAAATTTTGAGTGACTAAATGTGAGCTTGGGGGAGTGTAAACACATTTTTTTTTTCCCCTTCTAAGGTGTGTCTAGGAGTTAAGTCATTATTTTCAAACAAGACTGAAATGGCCCTCTTCAGAAATCTCTAAAAAGAATTTGAGAAAAGAAATCAGATAAAGAATAACAAACATATAAGAGAATGAGCAGACTGTAAATGATTGTTTTTATTTTTATTTTTTCAAGACTCCACTAACTACCTTTCTTTGGCTTATAAATCTACTCATGTCTCCCCTATTAAAGAAAATATAACAATAAAAACACTCTCAAAATCCCAGTTTCACTCCTGAATTACTTTCCTATCTCTCATCTTTTTACCAAAATTTCCCAAAAGAATACTCTGTCTCAGGAGTTGGCAAACTTTTTTAGTCAGATGGTAAATATTTTAGGGTGTGTAGGCCATGTGGTCTTGGGTCCAACTACTCAACTCTTGCCTGTTGTGTACACACTATAGGCAATATATAAGTAAGTGGTGTGGTTGTATTCTCCAAACCTTTATGAACATTGAGATGTGAATTTCATATACTTTCCACATATCATGAAATATTCTTCTCTGCTTTTTTCAACAATTTGAAAATGTAAAAACCATTCTTAGCTTGCAGGCTATACAGTATCATATTGGGTGGAGGATAGAGTGGATATTGCGTGGGGGTATAGTGTGTCAATCCCTGATCTATGCCAGTGCCTCTGTTCTTGCCTCCCTTGAAATTTATTCTTCTCTTCACTGTGCTCCTAAGATTTGCTTTCTCAAATATCACTAATATCTACATCTAGTGTTTTTTCTTGTACCCAAATTCTTTGATCTTTCTGTTCTAACTCTTGATCATCGTTTTGGTAGTCTTCTGTCCTTTTTTTTTGATACTCTTCTATCCTTTTCATGAAGTTATGTTACTGTGATCCTTTTTCTAGCTCTCTGATGACTGCTTCTCAGTCTCCTTTGCTGGATTTCCTTTCTTTCTGCCACTATATAGATGTAGACATATGCATCTCCCTCAATTTTTGTCCCCAGATCAGTCTCTTTCTCCTCTTTTTTAATACTATCTTCAATGATTTCATTCACTGCCAAGACTGTCATTAATGATTTACATAGATGATTTCCAGAGCTGAATCTCCCACCTCTATTTTTTAAGAATCTAGACTGTAAATTGCTTGCTAAACTTCTTCAAGCTGGCATATAAGCACCTCATATTCCAAGTATTCATTCTCAGACTTATTTTCTCCAAATTCTCCTGGCTTTCTTATCTATTAATGACATCACTATTATTGAAGTTCATGACAAAAAATTTTCACCTCTAAGTTCTCTTCTTACCCTGAGATTTAACGACCTCCATTATCTTTCACAACCAATCGGTTTTACATTCAGAAAATTTGCCTCACATCTGTTTCTACCTGGCCTTCAATATAGCTATAACTTCAGTTCAAAAGTCCACCCCAAACTCTTCCTCCATGTGTATTTCTTAATGTGTAGCCTACAGCAGGTTAAAATATAGGGATGATTTTTAGTATACTGTTCAGTGTTGATCTCACTTTTTCCTAGACTTGCAACCTCAGGCAAATTTATTAACATAGGTAAAATAGAGGAAGCAGATAATACTTCATTTTCTATGTCCTAGAGAAATTGTAAGGATAAACTTAAAGTCTGTATAGAAAATTCTTGTGTGTGCTATGAGACCTTTACCATAGTAAAGGTAACAGTTCATTTCTTTTCCTTGTGGTTTATTTGTCTTCATATATCCTGTGCCTGTCATAGCATCTGGGAGATAGGTGCTCAATAAATGTTTGTTGAATGAATGTGTGAATGCTGGAGAATCACTCTTTCCTTAGATTCCTTGATGGCAGTTAACATATATATTTCATTCACAATGCAAAGCATTTTTAGCAAACAAAACCTAAAATAAACTCAAACTCTCCTCAAATTGTTGAGCAATAAAACATTCACAAACATAATGAAACAATGATCTCAGATGGCTTCTTAATAATATCTTGCATGTAATGCATATATTTTTTATAATTGTACCTTGTTTGCACTGTTATGATTATCAGATAATTTATAAAGACAGCACATACCTCATTATCATGATATGCCCATTGGCACAAAAGCATGCCAAGCAGGCACTGTTACACATGACCACCACATCTGCTTGCAGTATAAAAGATGTTTCTGTGATGTTATGAACATAGAGGCAAGTCTGAGAAGGCAGTGAGAAGACTTTAGCTTGTTTCTCTGAGCAGATTATTGTGTACTGATGATCTCCTATTTCTTGGGATGGAGAGGGGCAGTTCATGACCAGTTTCCTTCTGCAAGATTTCTCATTTTCATCTATGTTGTTTGGATCTCTCCAAACTTCATATGGTGGTTGCATTAACCCACCAGTTCGGTCCATACAGGAGAATGTTAGGACAGCTCCTTTCAATGAGAGGAATGTACCTATAAAAACAATTCCATATCACTGGCACATGAAATTCTTTCTAGAACAGGTGCTATTCATCTATGGGTGATAAATGTTTTTTTTAATATTATGATAATTTATATTTATAATGTCATAATATTGCCATATTACACATAAATCAGTAGATTTGTGAATTTATCAGCTGCAATAACTTGGAATCATAATGGGTAAATGCTAAAAGGAGTCTAAGACATCAACTCACCAAATGCTTTCATTATGTTAATAAGAAAACAGATCCAGAAAGATGATGAGTTTTGGGCCAAGACACATACCAAATTAGTGGCTGAGGCTGGACTGGAACTCAAGTTTCCTAATTCCTAATCCAGTATCCTTTCACTATACTATACAGTATTCGTTAAAATACTTTAAAAAAAAAAATCAAATTTCAGAAAATTTACAATTTTAATTTACTGAATAACTTCAACTGAAAAGATTATCATGCCATCTGATTCCATTTCTTTATAGACTTATTCACTGGAAAATACTATTTTTCTTCTTCTGAAAATGCATACTCAGAATGCTTCATAAAATTTAAATATCCAGTTCATGCTAGCCATTTTGATTGTATTTAAAAAAAAACAAACTGAATTTGGTGTTTACTCAGGCTTATGCATCTTTTATACAGAAAAATGGCTTACTCACCTGGATCCTCCAAGGTTGATCATCCATGCCAGATTATTACCTAAGGGCGATTTTTTACCAGTCCCAGAGATTGGATACTGCAAAGGCTTAGGAGGTAACTTGGGATAGACTGACCTTTGGACACTTCCAGACTCTTCCCTAAGCAGTGCCTGAGCAGCCTTTTCTTTCCTTTGTCCTTTAACATCATGTAGAGAGTAATGGAAGAGGGCATGGAAACTCACTCCAGTATCCTTGCCTGGAAAATTCCACAGATGAGCCTGGAGGGCTACAGTCCATGGGATAGTGAAGAGCTGGACACGATCGACTGACCGAGCACACGTGTAGAGAGTAAGGAAGCTATCCCAGGCTGACATACCTCAAGAGTACATGCACCAGAGACTTGGAAAGGGTATTATACAAGTACATTCCATTTAGAAAATACTTTATAAAGTCTTAAAAATTTATTAAATTATAAAATTTATAAAATTCAAAGTAACATGTTTAGATGCTTTAACATCTCAGTTGTGTTTTTAAACCCACTTTTAAAACCAAGAAGCCTGTAGATGTCTGACAGGGATAAGGGAGCAGGGGCTCAGGCGCTTTAATCTGAGGGTCAAGGTATGAAAGACCTACCAAGAAGAAAAATATCTGCCAAGGGCTATGATGAATGATTTAATTAATATTCATCTAGGAGTGATTCTTCTATTCCTCCCCCCCCCAAAAAAAAGCTCCCATATTTCCACTGCTGCACACCATGGAAAACTTCTTGAAGTATATATTAACACCCTCAATTTAGAGATAGCCTAAAGTAGGTTAAAAAAACAAGAAATCTACATTTTGGAAGCCATTTTACTTAACGCCTGATGCTTACAAAGCTGTCAGTATCAAAATGACTGTTTCTTAATAAGTTGCCTTGCCCAAATATCTGCTTTGTTTCCTAATTTGTGATAATGCCTTGATTATATTCTTTTCATTAGTTTTATACAAGGTTTAAGTTTTCCCTGTACATGTTTGCATGTGTGCTTAGTCATGTCTGACTCTGCAATCCCATGGACTGTAGTCCGTGAGGCTCCTATGTTCATGGGATTTCCCAGGCAAGAATATTGGAGTGGGTTGCCATTTCCTCTTCCAGAGGATCTTCCTGACCCAGGGATTGAACCCAAGTCTCCTGTGGCTCCTGCTCTGGTACCACTGAGCCACCTGAGAATCCCACCACTGTATTATTAATCTTATGACCGTGTTTTAGTCTTTTCTAACTTAAAAAAAAAAAGCTTAAGCAAGTCATAATTACAACCTTACTATTACTATTTTAGAAATACACATTACAGGAAGCTTAAATTTAAGAACTTCTGTAACAAAATGTTAACAGTTCAGTCTACAGTAAATAATTCACAGATAAGTAATGAGGATTTTCCTCTTAAAAGAGGTCTTACTGGCTAGAAGTGTGCCTTACTCTAGTTTTCCAAATTATTGGTCTTTCCTACTAAAATCTTTTTGTTTTTGTTTTTGTTTTTTTTTTCTACTAAAATCTTAATTATTCAATCAACAAGTATTTATTTTGACCTGAGAAACTGGAAGGATGGAATTGTCATTAATAGATACGGAAAGACTATGGAAGAAAGGAATATTAGGAACTCAGTTTGGGACATATGTTTGAGATACTTATTAGATCCAAAAGTGAAAAGTGAAAGTGTAAGTTGCTCAGTCCTGTTCGACTCTGCGAGTCCATGGACTGTAGCCAGCTAGGCTTTTTTCTATGGGATTCTCTAGGCAAGAATACTGGAGTGGGTTGCCATTCCCTTCTCCAGGGGATCTTCTTGACCCAGGAATCGATCGTGGGTCTCCTGCATTGCAGGCAGATTCTTCTGTCTGAGCCACCAGGGAAGCCCTATTAGATCCAAGTGGCTGCAAATAACTGGATACCTGTATCAGGAATTTGGGGATGGACCCAGACTATACATGTAAATATATGACCCACGAGATTACAAGTGGAATTTAAAGTAGTAAGGCTGGCTGATTTCATATAGGGCTTGGATATAAATAGAAAACAGGAAAGATTCAAGGAGTCTGTCTTTGAGCATGCTGATTTTAAGTCCAGTGAAATGTAGTGGAACTAGTGAAGGGGACTGAGAAGGAATAGCTATAGAGGTAGGGAGAAATTTGGGTAAATAACGTATCCTGGAATCTAAATGAAAAGTGAAATGTAAGGTAGGGATAATGGTAAGCTGTGCAATATGTTGCTGATATTTCAGGTGAGACGTGACTTGAGAATTGAATTTAGCAATGAGATCAGTGATGACCTATGTAGAGGCTTTTGTTGACGGGTGTGAGAGAAAGTTTGATCAGAATGCACTCAAGAGAATGGGAGAATAAAACTGAAAATAGTGAATATAACAATAATATGCCTTGAATGTTTCAAGGAATCTTGCACTAAAGACAAAAAAGTGAAATGGGGCATTGTTGGAGCATAGATTCAAGGAGGGTTTTTCTCTTTTAATGGGAGAAATAACAGCATGTTTGTATGCTGATTTAGTAGATAAATATATAAAGGAAACAGGAAAAATTGCTGGATTGACTTTCTCATGTAGGTGAAAGGGAATAGAATCTAGTGTATAAGTGGAGATGTTCACCAAGTCAAGAGTTTACACAGTTTAGTCACAATAACAGAAAAGAAGGTAGCAATCTTGGTGATGGTGGCAGCTGCTGATATTCTCATCTGATTGTTTTCTCAATGAAAGAAGACATGTTCATTACTGAGATTGAAAACAGTGGAGAAGGTGTTAGAGCTCTGAGGAGAGTGGAGAAAGTATGTAATTGTTAAGGGTGGAGAGAAGACTAAAGTATTATAATGTGACTCCCCAGCAACAGAGGAACCCACCAGAGGTTGTTGATGATTTATTTCAAAATGAGACTACTTAGTCTGATTATTTTTTTCCAGCCATATTCAGCTACACAGGTATAGAAATAAAGTGTATGTTTGTGTGTATGCAGTCACTCAGACATGTCCTACTCTTTCATGGACTGTAGCCTGCCAGGCTCCTCTGTCCAAAGGATTTTCCAGGCAAGAATACTGAAGTGGGTTGCCATTTCCTTCTCCAGGGGATCGTCCCAACTGAGGGATCAAACCTATGTCTCCTGTATCTCTTTCACTGGTAGGCTGATTCTTTACCATTGAGCCACCTGGGAAGTAGAATTAAACTTATGAACCAGGATTGTGATTAACCATATTATGTATGCATGATGTTATGAATTATGATACATATGTATTTGGTCTTTATCCCTGTTTCTGGTACAGTGCTCCTAAAATCCTTGGAATTGCCTGACAAGAACAATACAGGTGTCTTTCATTACATTAATAAGGTGATTTTGGAGTCTCACCTAAGGTTGGGGGCTGGTTGCCAGGGGAGACAACCAGGTGATTAGAAGGTTAACACTTTTAGCCTTACCCCCACCGCTGGGTCAGAGAGACAAGCTGGAGATTGAATTCCATCCCCATCGGTTTAATTAATCACATCTGTGTAAGGAAACCATATTAAAAACCCCAAAGTGGGGTGGTGGTTGTTTGAAGAGCTTCCGGGTTAAGGAGCAGGTAGTGGTGTAGGGAGAGTGACACTCCTGGAGAGGGCATGGAAGTGGTAGCTTCATGTACCTCCCTACATTCCTTGCCCTATGCATCTCTTCCATCAGATGTTCAGCTATATCCTGTTATAAGAAACTGCTAAACAGTAAGTAAAAGCTTTTCTGAGGTTCTATGAGTGGCTCTAGAAAACTGATTGAACTAGAGGAGGGGGCTGTGGAAGCCTCAGGTCTTCTTGGTCAGAAGAATAGGTGACAACCTTGACTTGACTCGGTATTGGCATCTGAAGGGGGTTACAGAGCCGTTAACCTGTGGGACCACCTCCATGCAGACAGTGTCCAAATTTAGTCAAACTCTTGAACACTCAGCTGGTATCTCAGAGACTTGTCTGTGGAGAAGGCCTCCACTTATCTGGTGTCAGAAGTGGTGTGAGTGTCGTAATTGTGTGAAAGTAAAGGAGGAGGAGACACAAAGGAAAAACCCAGGAGGAGGGAGGGCTGTTGTTTTTTTATCCCAGCACGAAAAACTGCATTTGTATTAGTATCACTTGTGGCTTGTTAAACAATTTCTCAGACTCCACCCCAGACCAACTGAATTAGAAACTCTGGGAATGGAGCCAGAGTGTTACAATCTATGCTGTAACCCTTCAAGTGGTTCTGACACAGATTAAAGTGATGGCTTCTGGAATAAATCTCTAGGTGTTCTGTCACTCTAAAATGTAGTGATTTAGTGCTTTAGTTCACATTTCCACATTGTTGATGAGAATTTGTTGTCCAGACA